GGGCCGGGGCGGGCCGGGGCGGGCCGAGGGGCACGGCTGAAGGGTCTCGCACCACCAGGCTTGACAGCGGGAGCTCCGGATAGATAGACGCCACGTTGATGATCTGCTCGTCAACCGGGGTGAGTCCCGCTCGCTGGGCAGACTCCAGCTCGGTCTTTAGAGCCTTTTTGATGACGGGCAAGTCCTCCGGAGAGAAGCTGGTCACATAGCCAATGTCCCAGTCGGAGCTGCTGCGGCCAGCGCGACCGGCAATTTGCTTGATGTGCGACGTCGACAGGGGCACATTGGTGGTGCCGTCGAACTTCAACAACGTCGAAAAGATGATTCGGCGGATGTTGCTGCACAAGACGTTGGTGGTGGTGGTGGTGGTGGTGGTCGTGGTGGCGAGGCCAGGCGGAAAATGCGAGTTAGAAGCGGGGAAGCAGCAAGGGGAGCAGGGCCGAAAGGAGGAGGCAAGATGGCAGAGGGAGGGAGAGGGAGGGAAAGGGAGAGGAGCCTGAACGCCAGCAGCCCGGCTTCGAAGGAGGCAGCGCACGGAGGGCCAACAGAAAAAGCAAGGCCCCGGAAAGCAGGGAAGACCCATGGCCACGTACAGGTTGAGACCCATGCCCACGGCATCGGAGGCCAGGAGAATGGTGTACGGGCTGTTGGGGTCATTGAAGAGGCGCGCCTGCATGGCACGCGTCTCCGGTGGCAGGCGCCCGTAGATAATGCAGCACTTGTGGCTGGTCTCCGACTCGATGCGGGTCTTGAGGCTGTGGAGCTCGCGTCGAGAGAAGGCGATCACACAGTCACCACGCTCGAGCTTGGTGAAGTCCGTTCCGAAGGCACTCTTCTCGACCGCCAGCTGGGACCTGCGGTGGTACTCGTGGACCTCGAATTCGTCGCCGGTCAGGGCGGTGATGCGCTGCAGGATGTCGATGGCCGTGGCATCGCCACACACGTGGATCTCCTTGGCCGGGGCCGACAGCACGGCTTGTGTCCAGGCCCAGCCGCGCTGGGCATCGGCCAGCAGCTGGATCTCATCGATGACGGCCACCTCCACCGGGGAAATGACGGGGAAGAGGCTGCAAGCCTTTTCCACGGTGCAGGAGGCGTGCTGCGCGCCGGGGGTTTGCTTTTGCTCCTGGCCGGTCAGCAGGCTGGTCGGCACCCCGGCCTGGTTGAGCTTGTCGAATACCTCCAGCGCCAGCAGGCGCAGCGGCCCGCAGAAGATGCCGCTTTCGGACTTCCGCAAGGCCTGAATCGCGCGGAAGGTTTTCCCACTGTTGGTTGGCCCAGCATGGTAGATGATCTTGCGCTGTGTGTACGGGGGGCGGACGGGGGGGGGGGGGGGGGGGGAAAGAGGGCACCAGGGGCCCTGGTCAGTCGGGCGACATGTGCCGGAGCAAAGAGGCCTCTTCTTCATCATGATCATCACGCACCCCACTGGATGACGATGTCCATCAGGACCGCCGGCCGCAAGGGGACCTCGGACTGGAGGAGCCAACGATCCAGGTGGCACCCTCGTAGCGAGCGGTGTACTTGGCGGGGTTGCCGCTCAGGTCGTCCAGGGTGACGGGCTCGGCACCAATGGGAATGGGGGGGGTGTTGTCAGCCATGGTGGTCTTGGGGGGGGTGGTGACGGACTCCTCGGTGGCGGTGATGACCAGGGTCTGGGGGGGGGGGGCAATGGGGGGGGGTGGGGGGGGGGGGGGGGGGGGGGGGGGGGGGGGCAGGAAGGAGCGCAGAGGGGCAGGAGCAGGGATGGGGCGGAGGGGGCGGCCGACAACCGAAGATGACAGCGTCCCATGGATCCATAGAAGGTCAGTGCTTTTGGCTCCGGCGGGCACATGCGCACAAGCACACCAACATGGCGCGGTTACGGCCATGGCGGAGGTCGAGGCCGAGGAGGGGCGTCTGCACGAGGGCAGTCGGCCCATGGACGCACCTTCATCGATCGCGCCTGCGGGTAGAAAGCATGTGGCATGCGCATGTCCGAGAACTGGCACAGGTTTCGGTAGGCCGAAATCGAGGGGTGGAAGTAGTTGGCCGCCAACTCACCGAGAGCCTCCATGTAGGCATTGGAAATGGAGTTGAACAGCCGGCTGGACATGATGACTGCCTCCTTCGGCGTCAGCTTCAGCCCCTGGATGTACTCCTGATCCTGCAGGCGCTCCAGCTCCAGCGCCATCCCCAGGAAAAGCCCATGCTTATCGGGGTGATCGAACAGCAGGGACTCAAACATGATGGCCAACTCCTTGTGGATGGTGGATGGGATGAAGTTCCGGATGAAGAAGTTGTTGAAGTGCCGTGACCGGCGCATATCATTCCACATTTTCCGCAGGCGATCTGGCGTCCGCAGGGGGGCGGAGAGAGAGGGAGAGGGAGGGAGCGAGAGGGAGCGAGAGGGAGCGATTAGAGTGAGCAGGGGGAAGAAAGGCGCGGAGGAAAGAGGAGGAGCGACTGCGCAAGACCCGTGCTGTGGGTAGAGGGAGAGAGGGAGAGAGAGAAAGGGCCGAGCGGGGAGTGATCAATGACGCACTCAGGCTGCGAACACTTGGCATGTTGGACGTGTGCCTGGCCACCCAGGACAGGTGCTTGGTCATGGGGGAAGTCAAGTCGTCCAGATCCAGTGGCGGAATTGTGACTGGTGATGATCGGAAGGAGGATGTCAGCGATTGGCAACGGCAGTGCGGGGCGGGGCGGGGCGGGG